AGTAGAGCTAGACTCGTGGATTGGAACACAGGGCCCGTCGCAGAACCTAGCAGGCCCTCGCTCCTCACAAGTGCCTGTGGACACACGGCTGGGTTCGGAGATGGGTGCTGACTGTCAGAAGCACTCCAAATGCCAGCTCGCTTCAAAGACATTAATGCGGCCTAGAAATCAGCAGCAACTATGTCCACTTATTTTACTGGCCAATCTAGAAGTTTTGGTCACATGAACAGACTCAACATATTAGGCCTGCTGTCTTTATTTTTAATTTTATTTTCAAGGTGATGTACAGAGGGGTTACAGTTACCTAAGAAAGGTAATGAGTACATTTGTCAAACATGGTTACCCTCCCCCTTGTTTTCTCCCACTTTCCCTTCCCTCCAAGTTGTACAGATCATTTCCAGCACAGTGTCTGGTGAGTATCGCTGTTGCATTGGTTCACCTTTGTCCTTTGTCTCACCATTTTGTGATTCCCCTTCCCTTCCCTAGTTCAGATAAGAAGACACAGAGTACCAAAATCAACAACAGTGACAACAGGGAATAAACCAAAGGTGGGGAGAGGGAGGAGAGCAAAAGAAAGAAGAAAGAACATTTTTAAACGACAGCAACAAAGAAAACCCTCTTGTTTCCATATCTTGGAGTTCATTTTGATTATCTTCATTTTGTATGGTCATGTGTACATAGCTATTGAGCTATTGTGAGCCTCTGCTGGGACTATCCTAGACACATAGTAATGATTACAAAGGAGGGAAACCATGGAGCCTCTGTTTCATTGGATATGGCTTACTTCATGTAATATGATTTTTTCCAAGTCTTTCCATTTCCGTATGAATGGGGCCAATACCATTCTTTCTGATGGAGGCATAGAATTCCATTGTGTATATATACCACATTTTCTTGATGCATTCATCTACTGAGGGGCATCTGGGTTGGTTCCGTGTCTTAGCGTTGGTAAATAATAGCCATGATTACTTTTTGTAAGATGTTAAAATGAAGCCATTCAAACCCAAGAGGCATCAAGAACTGAGTTAAGTAGTCTTCTTCATGCTTTGAGGGACAAAGAGAAATTTAGGTAGAGGTCCTGGTCTCCTGCTGCCTTCAGATCTAAGACAAAAGTTTCAGGGATTTAACTTTTGTGTATAAAGAATTTTCTCATAATCGCAAGAAAGCAGATCTCGCCTCAAAAAACTTCCTAGAGGGGGCTGGGAAGGTGGCTCAGTGGTAGAGCACTTACTTTGCATGCTCAAGGCCCTGGGTTCGATTCCTTAGCACCACATAAGCAAAAAGAAAAAAGCCGGAAGTGGCGCTGTGGCTCAAGTGGTAGAGCGCTAGCTTTGAGCTGAAGGGTTGGGGGCCGTTGCCAGGCCCAGAGTTCAGGCCCCATGACCGGACCCAAAAAAAAAAAAAAAAACTTCCTAGAAGCATTATTATTTTGAAACTAAATTCTATAGACAACAGTTAATTTCTAGCATTGAGATAGAGCAGTATAAGTGAAAGTTTTAGTAAACATAAGAATTGGAAATGAAGCCAGGCACTGTGGCTCACACTTGTAATCTTAACTATACAGGAGGCTGAGATCTGAGGCTCTAGATTCAAAGTCAGTCTGGGCAAAAAAGTCTGTGAGACACTCTTTCTCAATTAACTAGCAAAAATCTGGAAGTAGAAGTGTGACTTGAGTGGTAAAACAAGCCTTGAGTGAAAAAAAAAATGAACAAATGTGAGAAAAGGCCCTTAGTTCAAGCTGTAGTACTGACACAAGAAGGAAGGAAGGAAGGAAGGGAAGGGAAGGGAAGGAGAGAAGGAAGGAAGGAAGCAAGGAGGGAAGGAAGGAAAGGGAGGAGGGAAGGAAGGAAGGAAAGGGAGGAAGGAAAGGGAGGGAGGGAGGGAAGGAACAAGGAAGGGGAGGAGAGAGATGGGGAAGGGAGAGAAGGAAGAAGGAAGGAAGGACAGAAGGAAGGATTGGAAGTGACATTCTACCCATTAAGCAACTGCTCCTTTTATTCTTGTGCATTTGTCTAGCTTAGAGAAAATAAACTAATTGAATTTTTCTTTCAACTGTAGCATAAAGTTTTTTTCCTATCCAAGTATATAATGTTAGTAAATAATTGGAGCATTCTCACTAAAACCCATTAGTACATTTTTTTTTCATTAGCAGTATTTTCTTGGCACTCAAGACTCAGACTTCACTCTGCACAGATTTCACTCTGAGCCTCAAAAAGAATCCTAGGTTTGAATAAGGGGAAGGCCAACAGTCTAAATACTGACCCTCCTTCAGTTTCCAGATCCTTCTGTAGAAAGAAGTGTTTTTGTAAGACTCAGAATCCATTTCCATAGAGTATTCTTAATGGCTCCTGTCAGAACAAAACAGCTGGGCGACATGTGGTATCCATTTCCCTGTATCACTTGGAAAAAATTTCGCATGTAAATAAAGCCAACATAAAAGAGTCGCCCTTTGAACCCCTGGCCTTATACAACACATAAATATATCAGTACAGTGCACTCCTTGTATTGACCCAGCAAGTCATGTGGCTTGAAAAATCTTTTAAATACATTCAGAGATGCACATTTCTTAGAATTGCCAGAAAAAAAATCAGAGTAATTGGCCAGCTATTAGCAAACATTGTATTTACACTAAGTATGCCTCTCAGAAATGTCTGTGAATATATATTTTTCTGCCATTTTTAAAGGTTCTCAGAAGGCAGATGAGTAAAATTAAAAGCGTCTTTACACCTTCTATGTCCACATCCTCTCTCTGCTGTTAGATGTAAGTGAACATACAGGATTTTTTTGTGTAGGGGTTGTTTATTTATTTATGGCTGGTACTAGGTCTTAGACTCAGGGCACTGTCCCTTACATTTTTTTGCTCAAGGCTGGCATTCTACCTCTTGAGCCATAACTCCATTTCCAGCTTTCTCATGGTTAATTGAAGGTAAGAGTCTCACAGACTTTCTTGCCCGGGCTGCCTTCGAACCTGAATCTCAGCCTCCTGAGTACTAGGATTACGAGCATGAGCCGAGGGCGCCGGCCTAACCATCTGTTCTTAAGGAACCATCTGTTCTTAAGGAAAAAAAAAAAAGAACATCTCTGCAGACATTTCTGGCAGACATTAATTCTTCATAGCTTCACATTTCAGAAAGAAAAGAACATATGAAAGATAGAAAACTTAAATTTATAAGGGACCAACTGGAATGAGTCTGTGCCTCAGCATAATGACATTTCACGAATAGCTAAATCTAATCTTTTCTGGTGATTATCGCTCCTCTAAATTTATTAGCCAGACTTTTGTCCCCTGTGAGGTTAAGCTGTAAATCCCTCAGAGGGATTCACCTTATGCATTTTTTAAAAATTTAATGAGTGGCGCAAATGGGGACTCAAGTTTGTAATTGTTGGATATGTTAATTGCCTGCTCTGGGCCAACCACTATGTTCAACTCTGTAAATCAGCCAATAAGAGGAGTGCAGCAGTCTGAAGCCAGCTAGATACTGTTGTTCTCTTCTGGACTGTTTCTTTTCTTTTCTTGCTTTCTTGCTTTCTTTTTCTTTTTTTGCCAGTCCTAGGGCCCTGAGCTTCATCTGCTCAAGCTAGCACTCTACCACTTGAGCCACTTGCGGCTTTTTCTGAGTATGTGGTACAGAAGAATCGAACCCAGGACTTCATGCATGCTAGGCAAGCACTCTACCACCAAGCCACATTCCCAGCCCAAGCAGCCCTCCCTCCACAGCAGACCCCTTAAAAGTGAATGCCAACTTCTTGTCCATTTGGGAGATAAAACTCACAACTAGGTAATGTTTGGGTTCAGAATACTTACATCTCACCGCCTTCTCTTGGTTCCAGAGCTCTTCAGTCCTAGAACAGATCCCAGTGACAAGACTTAGTACTTCAATGTAGGGAACTTTAACAAGGAGCCTTACCCATAACCCAGCTAGGGGCCGTTGTAGAAGTTACATATCTGCACATTCACTCTTGTCCCTGGTTCTTGCTCTCGGTTGTGCCAATAGCAAAGACCATACGTGGACACTTCTGGAGCCTTCCTGCGTGCTGTTGTTCTAAAAAGGCACATGGTTGGTCTCTAGTTGGAAGGAATGCCCTGAAACCTCACCTCTTTGATGGGGAGTGGTACAATTAAGCAGAGGACATGACGAGTGGGAATTATACATCAGTGACCTTAAGATGTCCCAGCCGGAAGTTGGAATGGGGTGCTTCGTCCTGGATGGGTTAAGTTCACCATGCCTTGTCTCTCGTGGCTCAGCAAATCCCTGACCACCTCATTTCTTTCTGTTCCTTCCCTAACCACCTAAAGGAAAACTAGTGAGTCACTCACGTTGTACAGTTCACGTTTGGGTCACTTGGTCCATCTTTACAGGAGACCTTAAACCTTACAGCTGTGGGCATGCTTGTGTGCATATTCCTAAATTACTTTGGAGGCTTACTTAACACGGATAATCCTCTAATATTGTTCTTCAGGGTGATGGCAAGTGTTTAAATATTTCCAGAACTATTGTGAAAAAAGACACTTAATTATCTGTCTGCACTGTCTTGTATTTTTGTTTGAATTCAAGTCCTCATGCTTATGGGCTGATGCTCTCCCACTTGAGCCACGCTTCCAGGCTGGCTGTATGGTGGTTATTTTAGAGGTGGAGTTTTGCAGACTTTCCTGCCCAGGTTGGCGTTGAACCATGATTCTCCAGATCTTAGTCTTCTAAGAAGCTGGATGACAAGCATGAGCCACCAGCACCTGGCTTAAATTGCTTTTCTTTAACTTTCTGCTCTTACCATGATCACCACTACACTGGGCTGTGAGTCCCTGTGTCCTGACTTGCTTTTATCATTCACTGTCTCCAGTGGTAAGTACAAATCACATGTTCTGTGGACATGCATTCTCTTCTTGTTGCTCCTTCACACAGGGTCTTAATCTGAGCTTCACTTGAATGGACCGTGTCTGCCTGCGTGGCCCTCATGCCAGGGTAATAATCTCCTCTTTTAACTTTTCTTTTTAAACCCAGTTTCTAGCTCTGGCTGGAGCTGTGGCGTCTCCACTCTCATCACAAACACACAAAAGCCCACAGGAATCGCTGACATATACAGCAAGTTCCGCCCTGTGAAGCGCGTGTCCCCGCTGAAACATCAGCCCGAGACTCTGGAGAACACTGAAAACGATGACCAAAAGAATCACAAAGTAGAGCACCAGAAAGGGGGCGGCCCAGACCCGCCCGAGCAGCTCAGGCCCGATGATGGAGGAAGAGGCTTGCCGCCGGGCAAGGGTGCCGATCCTGCCAGTGCCCCGGACGAGCTGGAGCATTACGACCTGGACATGGATGAGATTCTGGATGTGCCTTACATTAAGTCTACCCAACAGCTGGCCTCGTTTACCAAGGCGACTTCAGAAAAAAGAATTCTGGGGTTGTGTACCACCATCAATGGTCTTCCTGGCAAAGCCTGCTCTACAGGAAGCAATGAGAACTCACCGCCCAGCGCCGCGCCGCTCTGTGTCCTCTCTCCCGTGAAGAGCCCTCACCTGAGAAAAGCATCTGCAGTGCTCTTGGAGAAACACAAGCCCTCCGTGGAGGAATCTAGCAGCTCGCCTCCTCTGCCTCCATGCGGCTCTGCCTGCGAGCCGGAAAGCCAGAGTAAAGACTTCTTAAACAAGTCCTTCAGCGACCCACCGGGCCGAAAAATGGAAAAGACAATGACAGACTGCCAGCTCAGGTCATTTCACCTGCCGTCCTCCACCACAGAGCCCAGGCTGGAGGAGCAGGTCAACGGCCTGGCCTGGCCCAGCTCCCAAGGCTCTGAAGAAAAGACTGAGCACTTGAAAAAAGTCAAGAGCATCCTGAACATTGTAAAAGAAGGACAGATATCTCTCCTGGTGAGTATAATCTATCTACTCTAGACACACACACACACACACACACACACACACACACAGAGAGTCTAGGGACTATATTTATAACACCATAACAATTTCTGTTGTTGTTAAACTTCTAGAGGTTTTAATGGGGAACCTCTGATGGTGTTGTCTTGGTCTGGGCCAGCCGTGGGCTTTTCACTCAGGGCTCTTGAGCTCCACCTTGCTTTTTGCTCTCAAGGCTGGCCTTCTGCCACTTGAGTCATACCTCCACTTCTAGATTGTGCTGCTTAATTGGAGGAATGTCTCACCGACTCTCCTGCCCAGGCTAGCTTTGAACCTTGATCGTCAGAGCTCATCAAGCTTCCGAGGTTTGGGTTTTGTTTATTTTTGTGCCAGTCCTGGGATTTGAATTCAAGGTCTGGGCATTGTCCCTGAGCTTTTTTTTTTTTTTCTTCCCTCTCTGAAGGTTATCATTCTGCCACTTGAGCTCCACTTCCAGCTTTTTGGGAGGATACTTGAGATAAGAGTCTCACTGACTTTCCTATCTGGGCTGGCTTTGAACCACCATCCTCAGATCTTGGCTTCCTGAGTAGCTAGGATTACAGGTGTGAACCACTGGTATCCGGCTTACTTTTGAATTTTAAAATAAAAATTTCGGAAGTTATGACAGGGAAAACAAACAACTACTGAAGCAGTGTTATTTCATTTTAGCTCTTCATGCATTCAACTAGGATAAAGACATTTAATCTAAAAGAGCTAACAGAGCCTGGCACTTCTTTGAAAACTTGAATTTTCATGTCATTTTTCCCCCTCTCTCCAAATGGTGCCCAAGGCCCTCGCTCAGTCAGCTGTGGGAACACCAGTTCCTTGCTCATGGTGGACCTGCCAGATAACTGAACAGAGAGTCTCTGTCCTGGGCTGATCATTATTCAGAAGAGTTGGAGCAGGCTGCTTGAAAAACATTTGCAGATAGAAGCTTACCCTCGAGCTTGCTTGCCCTCTGACCCCATGAAGTTTTTACTTAGTTCCAGCTCTGTGTATCTAGAGAGCATAGAGAAGCATTTCGAAAGACTCCAGACACAGAGGATGGTGATGTAAGAAAAGTTGGTTCTGCTCAGGCTCAGAGAGAGCTCAACTGAAATAGCTCTCCATCTGCTGCATTGTTCTTTTCTGGCTTCCAGCCGCGGATCAAACAGTAGCCAGCCTGGACTCACACGATGATGCTAATTAAATCTCATTCAAGACAATCATTGCCTCTTGGTAATGTGATTATACTTAGTGGGAAGCCATAGAGGAAGTGTAGTGTGCTCGGTCCATTACCACAAATATTATTGAACAGGACAATAGGATTGAATTTGCGTTTTTATTTCTCCTGAAAGTAGCTTTTCCATTTTTCCTGGCACATTCCTCTAATTCTCTGTGATTCATTCTATTCCTTCTTTTTTCTTCTTGGAGGAACTCAGGAGTGAACTTAGAGTTGCCTGCTTGCTAGATAAGCGCTCTTCTACTCAAGCCTCCAGTCTTTTTGGTTACGGTTGCTTTTGGGGATAGGATGACCTGTACCACCATCACACTGACGCCCTCAACTGTAGCTGGAATGGATAGTTTTGTTTTGTTCCATTGGATGAGTGTGTCATAAATCCCACCCCGCCCCCAGCTTTCCTCCAATCAGACCTCCAGATCTCTGCCTCCCAAGTAGCTAGGATTTCAGAATGAACTACCAGAGCCCAGATTTTTTCCTCTCCAATTTGTTTTCGTATTTCCCAAATGCTAACACCATTCAGTTCCCCCCAACAGTCTGTGCCAACCACCTCATCCACAAGGGGTTCCATTGGTGAGAAACCCAAAGGCCACGTGACACCCCCCCCCCCGCACTGCCCCTCAGAAGTTATCAGTGTCTGCTCAGAGCGCGGGCAGCAGCCGTCCTCGTGAAGTTAGCAGTCAGAGCCAGCGGTCCGCCATTCCCAGCAAACAGTTGAAACAAGTTGCTCATTAACAGATCGGCAGCAGGGAATGAAACAGCTCCAGCGCTCGGGCTGGACAGTCAGTGGGGGCCAACAGACAGCGAGGCTGCCAGGCACCCCCAAAAGTCACTACCGTTACTTGGAAAGTCCACTTGAAGCCTCCACAGCGTAATGAGCTTCATGCCCTAGCCCTGATGCTCTGTCTTGTAGGAAGATCAGTCTCTTGAGAACTCTTGTTCTAAAGCGTATTACAACAGAGAATTATGGCAAGGGACATTGGTTTTCTCCATTCCAGATCCAAGACCCGCCTGGATCTTGTTTTCCTTGATTGATGTAAGTGTTCTGATCTTCCTCTCTGTCCAGCCACACCTCGCTGCAGACAATCTAGACAAAATTCACGATGACAGTGGCAACAACCTGCTCCACATCGCCGCGTCGCAGGGCCACGCGGAGTGCCTGCAGCACCTCACCTCTCTGATGGGGGAAGACTGCCTGAGCGAACGCAACGCGGACGCGCTGACGCCGGCAGGCCTGGCCATCAAGGTGACAGCTGGGACCCCGGCCTTCTGGTGTTTCGGTTGGGGGAGTTGGTTGTTGTTGCTTAAGAGCTATGGTGAGCTCAATGTTGGAAGGGAGAGAGGAGGGCGATGGATCAAGCAAACTGCAAGTGAACTTTCTAAGAGGAATGGAAGAGCGTCGTCATTTTAGGCACGAGCCACTTTGACCTCAGAGTGGTTCTTTGAGACTGCATTCATTCCAGTTTCTTGGCCAGCAAAGAGAAAGTAAAGTCATGTATTTCATTGCTGAGAACTGTTGTCATTCGTGGCAGCTGCAGTGAGATTCTTACACACACTTGGATCTACAGAGTTTGTCACTTTTTCCTAACGAGCGTGACAGGGACACGTGAAGGGATGGTGTGTTTGAAGGGATGATAGCACCCAGAAGGATTCCAGCTCATAAAGTAGGCTTTTAGTGGATCAGATCCGAAGGTTAAATATCCTCAGTATCAAGACTTGGGTAGACTATGAATCTGGATTTTGCATTCAGCTCTTGTAAAGCACTAGATGCTAGCTGTCAACCACACACAGCACACACACACTCACACACTCACACACACACACACTCACACTCACACACTCACACACACACTCACACACACTCACACACTCTCACACACACACACTCACACACACACACTCACACACACACTCACACACACTCACACACACACTCACACACACTCACACACACACACTCACACACACACTCACACACACACACACACACACTCACACACACACTCACACACACTCACACACACACTCACACACACTCACACACACACACTCACACACACACTCACACACACACATTCACACACACTCACTCACACACACTCACACACACACACACACACTCACACACACACACTCACACACACACACTCACACACACACACAGCACACACACACACACACACACTCACACAATGCCAACTTGGACAGAGTTAAAAGTTAGAAAGCAAGGTGCAAGGAAACAGACTTTTACAGCACTGCAGTGAAAGACATCACATCCCTAGAGGATAGCAAGCTAAAATTATTTGTGAGATCTTTAGCAAATAAATGTGGAATTCAGTTATATTCACTGAAAGGCCAGAGTGAAGGTCAGGGAAAGATACTACAACTTGCATTTCATATGTATTTTGCTTTATGTAATAACTGTGCCGTCTAAAAATTGCATAATAAGTGGAATTATATTGCTACTAGAATATGGAAGGGAACTTCCTAGCTAAAAAGACCTACTTGTGAGCTCATTAAAGAGCATGCTAGCCAGATGAGGTATGTGTACCTGTAATCTCAGCACTTGGTAGATGGAGGCAGGAAGTTTGAGAGTTCAAGGCCGATTTGGGCTACATAGGAAGTTTCAGCCCTACGCTGGGCTACATATAAGGTTCTGTCTCAACAGAAAACTTTAATAATCAGTATCTGTCTTGCTCCTAATATATCTTCTAAACAAACCTAAGTTTTTGAAACTTTATTTTGCTTACCAGTCAGTAAAGTTTTCCTACGTTTAGACTATGTTCTATTTTATTTGATTTTGTTTTAAAGTGTGACTTCAAACATAGCATAGAAAATCATTTTTTATTAAGCAAAAAACCTGAACCTGAAATTGGTAGCTCATCACAATAGCACTAGCTCCTCAGGCGACGGAGATCTGAGGATCTCTGTTTTAAAACCAGCAGGGACAGAAAAGTCCTTGAGATTCTTACCTCCAGTGAACTAACAAAAAAAAGTAGACTAGAGGTGTGGAGCACAGGTAGAGTGTCAGCCTTGAACAAAAGGGTCAAATGAGCAGGAGCACTAGTACACAGAAATATTACAAAGAAAGTGAGCAATCGGTGTGTGTGGTAGATGGCATCTTCTTGTGGCTGTTCTCCATGGCCTGTCAAATTAACAGTCCAGCCTGCAGCAGCCATGGTGGAGAAGAGAAAAAACACAATGTGAGCCATGTGTACTGACTCTACCAGCAGCTGTGTTAGGTGCTGACCCTGTGAATAAGAGATAGTACCTATCTTTTCTTTTCTTTCTTTTTTTGCCAGTCCTGGGCCTGGGTGCTGCCCTGAGCTTCATTTGTTCAAGACTGGTGCTCTACCACTTGAGCCACAGCTCCATTTCCTGGCTTTTTTTTGATAATTTATTGGAGAAAAGTTTCCTAGACTTTCCTACCTGAGCTGGCTTTGCTTTGTGATCCTCAGATCTCAGCTTCCTGAATAGCTGGGATTACAGGCATGAGCTACAGGCTCCTGGTCTAAAAGATAGAACCTGTTCTTAAAGACCTGAGAGCCAGGTGAAAAGGGAAGTTTTGTTAATTATCAGAGTGCCAAATGGAAAGCTCAGGGTCTCGTCCTGTGACAATGTCCTGTAGGGTCATGGGGGTTGGGTTAGATATGGTTATCAGTGAGCATCTAACGATGACAAAAAGTCTTACCATGCCAGTGAATGTTGACATTAGCCATGATGTTTTGCTGTTCATAAAATACAGTCCTCATTTTCCTGATTAGTGGTCCATTACTGAATATTCCCCAATTATATAATTGGATGAAAACATTTTTTCCTTATCCTTAGTTCTTTTTTCATATCTCACTCAGTCATTCTGATTAAACCCAGAGGCAGTGTGTTAGTCGGGTGATAGGATGACTTCAGATACCAAAGCCTACTGACATTTCTTGTTAGCATATACGTGAGTGAGCCTTGGCCCAAGACTGGCAAGTTCAAGACTGCTTCTTTGTTGGTATTTCTATTTATGGCAAGGGAAACTGGTTTCAGACTCAGAGTAGTGAGATATTTTCTGTGACCTTTTAAACAGCACCCAACTCACCAGACCTTAGCATTCTTCTAAGAGCATTCCACTCTGCAGAAGCAAAGTACATTTTGTCAAGGGTACAGGAAACATTCCTCAGGATACATTACATAAAATAATCTCAATAAATAAACAGGATTGAAATACAAAGCTGTGTCTTTTGATTATAATAGAACACTAATAGATATCAGTAATCATTATTAATCAATAGTCATGCAACATGGCCTCTTAATACAAACAATAAGTGTGATGAACATGATAGATGAGACTGTTGTTTGCATAATACAGTAAACTCTTTGTTTTTTGTTTTTTTTGGGGGGGGCACCGGTCCTGGGACTTGAACTCAGGGCCTGGGCGTGGTCCCTGAGCTTTTTTTGCTCAAGGTTACCATTCTACCATTGGAGCCACAGATCCACTTTTGGCTTTTTTTTTTTTTTGGTGGAGTTTATTGGAGATAAGAGTCTCTCAGGATTGTCTGCTCTGACTGGCTTTGAACTGCAATCCTCAGATCTCAGCCTTCTGAATATCTAGGGTTACAGGCGTGAACCACCAGCACCAGCCAAAACTCTTCCTTATAAAAAGAAAATGTGGGATATTCAAAAGTGTGCACAATTGACACATACTAATTAATATGTCAGAACCAGTCACAAAGGATATGAGAATATATCTGGAGACAAAGGAAAATGGAAACATAGCATATTAATACTTACAGGTGCAGCTAAAGCCCTGCAGAGAAGGAGATTCTCCTCAAGACACTGGAAAAGGAAGAACTAATTCCAAAGCAAGCAGAAAACAGGAAATAACAAACCTTACAATGGAAATAAATGAGAGTAGAAAAATACCAAAATATCAGCAAAATTGGGGGGGTGGAAAGATAATGAGGGGACCTCTTTAATTGAATTGGTCTAATGGTGGGGAGAGAAACAATGAAGAAGGTAGAAGAAGAGGACAGGAGGGGAGAGAGAGAGGGAGAGAGAGAGAGGGAGAGAGAGAGAGAGAGAGAGAGGTGGGGGTAAGTGGGAAATGAATGGTTACTGGAGCCTGGGCTGTGGGGGCTGAGCAGAAAGGATTGGCCAACTGTTGATCTTTGTCTAGTGAAGGGATTCAACTGCTCAGTGACAACACCATAGAGGAGGTCAGAGCTAGCCCAGGCATGAAAGTCCATGAGCCTCTTAGCTCCAATTAATCACAGAAAAAGCCAGAAATGGTGCTGTGGCTTAAGTGGTAGAGCAGTAGCCTTGAGTACAGAGGAGCTCAGGGACTGTGCCCAGGCCTAGAGTTCAAGCCCCGGGTCTGAAAAAAAAAAAGTTGTGGTGTTTTAACGTTTTGTATCAATAGTATCATTATCAATGACAGTTCTTTCAGAAGAATATTTTCCCTGTACAATTTTTTAAATATTTTATAGATTAAGACATCACTGGTTGCTTGATGAAAAAAATATTTCAAGTATGAATTTGTTAATTTTTTATTAACAAATAGGAAACCATTGCATTTGGGGGTCAGATAAACCGTTGCTCTGTCACATAAACTTGAATCACAGATAACTGATCAGTTAACCCCACTGGGTTGTCTTGGATATGAGTGCACTTGGAAAGTTTGACAGCTTCTTATAAACCCAGATAGACACATACCAGATAGCCCAGAAATTCCAGTTGTGGGGTTTTGTCCAAGAGAAATGAAAACATAAATTCACAAAGAATTTATTAAAACTGTATTCATAATAATATCCCCCAAATAAAAACAACCCAAATGCCTATCAGCAGGTTATTATCAGTTGGATAAATAAATTGTAAAGTGATATAAGAAAGTGCTTCTCAGCAATAAAAAGGGTATAAGCCACTGATCCAAGCAATAGCTTGGCTGAATCTCTGTAGCGTCATGTTTCTTCTACACAAAAGAGCATATCTCATCTATAGTAGCAGAAATCTTCACAGTGGCTGCCTGGGGCAGAGGTGAGAAGGTTGAAACTTTTGGGAGTGATAAAAAAAGTAGTCTCTATCTTAATTAGGGGTCTAGTTGCAAGAGTGTGACTTACAAACGATTCAGTAGACAGTATGCAAATAATACCTTTATTTATTTATTTCTACAGTCTAGGGATAGCATCCACCATCTTCTGCATGCCAGAAAGGCACTTTAACATCGGCCTACCCCCTGCCACAATAGAGTGATTTTTTTAAAATAGCTGATTTAAATTATTTAAAAATTTTAAAAGGCTGGGTGCCAGTGACTCACACCTGTAATCCTAGCCACTCTCTACCTAGGAGGTAGAAACTGAAAGGATTGTGGTTCAAGTCCAGTCCAAACAACCTCATTTCAATAGGGGAAAAAAAAAGAGTGTGCATGTTATAGTCAAAAGTGTAAATAAAATAGGATTGCAGTCCAGGCTTAGCTAGGCACAAAGTAAGACCTTATCTCAAATATAGCCAGAGCCAAAAAGGCTCAACAGGGGTCAGATGGTAGAGGGTCTGCCTAGTAAGCCCAAAGCTCTGAGTTCAAATCCCAGTGCTGCAAACATAAAAACTGTAAAAATGTACTTCAATAAAAATTCTGCGATTGATTTTGAGCCAGAACCACAGGTCCTGACTATTACAGGGACTTTGTTTATATGGTAAATAAACCAGATATAAAAGCCAGAATTCCTATAACTTTCCTTGGTAAAAATTTTAATCTTAAGATATTGTTTCAAATCTAAATTTTACATTGGATTTCTTGCTCTTTTCTTCTTCTTCTAAAATCTAGAATGGTCAGTTGGAGTGTGTACGCTGGATGGTGAGTGAAACAGAAGCCATCGCAGAATTAAGTTGTTCTAAGGATTTCCCAAGCCTCATTCATTATGCGGGTTGCTACGGCCAGGTATGGAAGTTTTAAGTACCTTCCTTTTGTGGGCTATACAATCTATTTCATTTTTTATGATCTGTTAACCAAGATCGAGATGTAAGAAACTATTAAAAACATATCCAGTGGCTCGTGCATGCATTCCTAGCTGCTCAGGCCTGGAGAACTATGGTTCAAAGCCAGTGTGTGCAGAAAAGTCTTCAAGATTTTTATTTCCAAGTGACTAGCACAAAGCTAAAGTAGAGGTATGCCTTGAGAGGGTAAGTGGGGTTGGTGAGAAGCAAGCTGAGAAAACATAGACAGATAGATAGATGATAGATAGATAGATCGATAGAGCGATAGAGCGATCAATAGATAGATAGAGCTATGTCTCCAAAGATACATAAGCAATGATATTTGTTGTAGCATTTTCTTAATGAAGAAGACTTTTAAATCCAAATATTGTAAGATAGAATAGTGAATAAACAAGGAAGCTATATCCATATGGTAGAAATTTATGAAAAGTGCTCATTACATAAAATCAATTAAGATATGATACAAAATTATCCCTGAAACTTGAAATCAGCTTTTAATTTTAGAGAGATGGAAAATAAATAGGGGTTAGAAGCACAGTTCAGACATGAAACACCTGCTTAGTAATAACAAGGCCCTGGGTTCAAACCCCAAAACTGAAAGAAAAAAATTAGAAAGCTTGATAGAGAAAATTCCACTGCAGCATGCTCAGAATTGTTTTCACTTATGGTAGAATTACAACTGGCTTTTCCTCCTGTACTCTCCAAGGTTTGTGTAATAGTTTTAACATTTATCTAAAGTAAAAAAGGACATACTTATCAAACCCAAAGTAAAAGGAAAGTCTTCATAAAACATGACTCAAAAAAGTCTTGCTGGAGGGAAGATGGGCATGCATTCTGACAAGATGACTTACATAGTTCGTTTCCACACTAGAAAACCCCAGCATTATTCATTAATGCACACACATCACACTCTATTATATTTCCACCTCCTCCTTTTGACAATAATGTATGCTTTCTAAACACTAGAGCAACCAAAGCGCATTCAGTCTGAAAAAGCAATAAAGTCAGCACAGCATCAAAAGAGATCTACTCATAGTTGTTTGTGACACAAAAATTGTTTCTCCTACCTATGACAGTGCCCCCTCTGGCTTCAAAAACTTTCCCAGTGGCCCTAAGTTATGTTCGAGGAGGAGAACATACTGTACTTTCTCAAGAGTGGCAGTCTCACATTCAAAGAACAGAGGCTGAACAATTACCATTGCTAGCTGGGCGCTGGTGGCTCATGCCTGTAGTCCCAAGTACTTAGGAGGTGAGATCTGAGGATCATAGTTTGAAGCCAATCAAAGCAGAAAAGTCTATTCGATTCTTATCTCAAATTTACCACCAAAAAGCTAGAAGTGGAACTTTGGCTCAAGTGAGTAGAGCTCTGGCCTTGAACACTAAAGCTCAGAGACAGCACCCAGGCCCTGAATTCAAGCCTCAAGACCAGCACAAAAATAAATAAATGAATTACCACTATGCTACATGATTATGCTACATGATTACTTTGTACCAAAGTAACTTCATTTTATATACTTAAAAACTCTCTCTCTCTCTATATATATATGTGTATGTATGTATGTATGTATATATACATATATATACACACATACACACACAAGATTTATTTTATTATATGTAGTTTATATCTTAGTTTTATGCACACAAGCTATAAACTCCATACCATGGAGATATATAGATATATATATATATATATAACCTGATTTCAAAACAATCCCCAGTCTGAAGGGACTGAAGAGAGAATATTCAGTTACTTACATGTGGCTTTGTGTACAGGAAGAGTAAAGGCTAGCTCAGGTCCTCTGACATCACAGTCATGTGATACAGATGGTTAGTGCTCACTGTTACAGTGGTAGCAGTGATCAAGCTGAGGGTGTGTGTGTGTGTGTGTGTGTGCGCGCGTGTGTGTTTTCACACACTCACCAATACTGGGGCACGAGTTTAAGGCCCAGACATATAATCCCTTAGCTTTTTGCTCACAGCCGGAGCTCTACCACTTGAGCCACAGCTCTGCTTCCAGCTTTTGGGTGGTTAATTGCAGATAAGAGTTTCATGGATTTTCCTGCCTGGGCTGGCTTCCAATTGTGATCCTCAGATCTCAGCCTCCTGAGTAACTAGGATTACAAGCTTGAGCCACGGAGGCTCACCCTGCAGACTTTAATTTTTTACAGTTGTATCTAGCAGTAAATACCTTGTGAAACTCAGAGCTCTTCATATCACATGTGGAAGTGAATAGCTACCCAACATATGAAATGAAGAAGAATGAAGAACATGTAAAATTTGTCCCTGCACTATTTCACTCTTTTCTTCAAGTAGTGTACTTTCTAACCCCATCTGCAATGTCCAAAACCAAACAATAGTTCATCAGCATACTGGCAGAGGGGAGAACAGAAATTTCAGTTCAGATCATCACAAGAATTTGATGACTGCCAATCTGTGTAAATCATTTTCAGAATCACTGATAGTTGCTTATTTCAACCCTAGCAAAGACTTTCAGATATCAATGGAAAGGCTACCCATACCTGTCTCCATGATGGCCAGGGGAAAGTAGGAAAGGACTGCAGACCTGTCCAGAGACCCTAAGTAACAGGCTTTCCACAGTCTTTGTCACTTGTATACCCCAGCTTCTTTATTCAAATCACACAGGAGGTTTCTTGTTACTTGTCAGCTGTTTGGCTAGAACAGAAGAAAGCACTGCTTGCGGGACTGGCTGGGTGACAAGGTGGCTTTCTTGGGTGAGCTAAGGGAAAGCGACCTCCTTGAAGAACTGTGTCAAACATTTGTTTCATGAATCTACTCCCCATCCCAAGGTTGTTATTTCAACCCAGTCAGCACTTGTATGACCTGAAATACAGTTCTCAGGAGCAGTGTAGCAGCACTGTGGGGGGAGCATTCCTAGCCCGGTGGGAGATGGAGGAGGAAGCCCTTTAGATCTGGGAGTTCTTGTCCAGCCACTTACATCACAGATGCCCTGCAGAGGCACAGGACTTGGAGCCCTTGCAAGGCTCATATTTGCACAAGGAAGACGCTGTCGAGAGGTTTCGTGATGGATTCGGCACATGCGGCACGCACTGGAGTGTGCTCTGGTTTTGACCCCTGCAAAGGATACTATGAGGACAATTCATCTCAGCTCATTTTAGTCGTCCTTTACCCCTCCTGTCGTTTCTTAAAGTTTGAACTCCATTTGATTCGCAATTTGTGTCTCTTTTCTTATAAATTTTACCTTTAGAGTCCAGCACAGTGGCCGTTAGCTTTCAGAGGCCTCCCAGACTGATGGACACATTTGGGGGGGGGGGGATGACAGGCATTGATTTCCTTCATCTTGACACTTGAAGTCTCAGAGCGTGCAATTATGTCATTGACTGATTGCACCTCTCAGAACTAGCCACAGGGAGCTAGAAGGCAATCTTAGGGATACACAAAGAAGGAGCTGGGGTGTCCTAGAAGGAATATTGTTGGCACTACAATGGAGACCAGTAGCTGCTGATTCAAAGCCACTGCTGTGTTCGGAGGCTCCAGTCACACTCCCCTATTCCCCCTCCCCCACAGAGTTCCCTCTCCCCACCTGGGCATTGAACCACCTGGATCTGCTTTGGTCCAAGGACCTTGGTAACATTCAGCATCAAACCTGGGATTCCTTTTCTTTACCTATCCATTCACATGACTTGAGGTGAAGACATTCATCTACAGACACAAACCCCGGCCCGATGCTGAGCTGACCGACAGTACCTTTGCCTGCCCTGGCTATTCTCCATCTTCGAAAAGGCATTAAAAAAATCAAGTCTCAGCAATTCCTGGCAATGGTTCTGAGAAGTGGCAGGCATGCCGAGAGGGATTTTTGAACACACTGCTGAAGTTCTGTGATTTACTCTGAAAACAATGAATCCCTCCTGGACTTTCCTGTTTGGTTGACTTTAGTGTTTCATTGTCATGAAGCAGAAAGAACTAGATGATCTGAAAGGGCTCTGATTGCAGATGGAAGACGAAGAGAAAACCCTTTTATATATTGTTTGTGATATATTCCAGACCGGCCTCGAACTCACAATCCTCCTGCTTCAGCGGTACATCACTAATAACTGAAAAACCTTTAGTTAACATGATTATCACTCTACTTTCCAAAATACTAATCTTACTTTTTTCTTTTCTCTCTTGTTTCTGAGTGGGTGCCGGTATGGTACTAAAAGCTTGAATTCAGGGCCTGGACACTATCCCTTAGCATTGTTGCTCCAGGCTGGCACTCTGCCACTTAAGTCGCAGCTCCTCTTTGGGCTTTTTGGTGGTTAACCATAGGAAAGAATCTCACAACTTTCTTGCCCAAGGTGGCTCTGAACTGTGTTCTTAGATCTCAGCTTCATCAATAGCTAGGATTACAGATGTGTGTCACAAGTGTCCAGCTTCCCAAGTACCAAGAAGCACTACGGACACAAAGTTCACCCCCAAGACTGACAAGCAGTTAATGATGATTTCTGCACCAAGTGAGTGTGTCTCATAGAGATAGCCATTTGGGAACCAGTGGTTGAGTGTGTTCATCTTGGGAGAAGGCGGGGGACAGGAAACGATGCATGAAGAACATGGGGCCCTAACTCAGGCTGCCTGGGACTCAGCCGTATCCCTACCAAGTACCATCTTGGTGGCATAGGTGCGTTCATTTAAAAAGAGGAGGGGAAAGAAGGTCTCTGACCATCCTTCCTCACCAGGATTTTCAGAGGACTGTGTCAGAAAAAAAAGACACATTGCCCAGCCCAATTCAGGCACTGGACAAATGTTGCTGTTAGGATTATTGAATGTCTTTCGATATGTTGTTTTTATTGCTATTGGTATTATTTATTTACTTATTTCACCATGAGTAAACCATATGAGAAACTTGCCAAAGAATTATTTAGATCTCAGCCTGTTTAATCAGTCCTTCCATGAATTTTTTTTTCTCCACATCTTACCATCTCTGGATACTACATTCATCATACAATAAGTGACATTATGAATTTATTGCTGACTTTTTTCACATATTAACATCTCAAAAACCGCAGTGAACCTTAAAATTGATGGCATAATAGACTTGAGGATCTATGACTTCAAACAAAGCAGACTCCTTCAGGAGTTACAATTATACCACAGACTCTGGAGAGCTTATTGATACCAGCAATAACTGTGACATACTTTTCAATTAATTTTTTATTAGACTTTGTACAGCAAGTCTCATAAATTGCATGTATTAATGTCCCCTTTAAACAACTTGCATTGCTTTGGGAGCACATAAAACACAACATTAGACAAGTTAGCATGGAAGTGGAGCTGTGCCAGGAGTAGAGCACCAAAGCTCAGCGACAGTGCTCAGGCCCCAACTTCAGTCCCCAGGACTGGCACACGCATAAAACAAGCTACCATATGTTCAGAAAATCTCCAGGAAAAGAAATTGGTACGTGAAGGAAGCTCTTAGTAGACACAAGTGGTTGGATGGTGGGCAGATGAAATTCAAATTGGAGAGGTTATTCTATGACACAGAGATACATCGTGTGATTATGTCAGTTGTTCTCTGAAAGCAGTACTTGTGGGGAAATGCAGTAAACATGAGAGAAAGAGAGACAGAGGCAGAGAAACAAACAGAAAATCATAGAGAAGGACAGACAGAATGCAAGAAAGAGCTAACAGCTCCAGAGCAGGTACCCACCATTGCATAACGATCTAATATATATAGAATAGATGTCTAATACATGCACGTGTTGGTAAGGGCCTTCTTAGTTGAAGAAAGTGGTGGTGTGTTTTGACCTCCTTATGAGGTGTTTGAAGTAATAAGTCACTGTTTTAATTGTAATATTCTGCATGTCCACAGGTATGTTCTCTAGAAACAGAATAGAATTTCTCTGAAAGTGAGGCTAAGTATGCTTTTAGAGATACCAGCCATCTTCATGCCCACCCCAGAAATCCTGTGTGGGTTTTTAGAAGGTCTGGTGTATAGTTAGACAATCCCTTTTGTTAATACTTCACTGCACAGTATAATAGGGAAGATACTTGTAATTTCCATCTATCTCAGTGGACAAGACAATTGTATATCTTCTGATAAAAGAACTGAATTTGAGGAACTGAGTGAATACTTGTTTTTGTTTAATGATCAAACTGTGAGTCTTTTTTTAACGTAATTCTTGCATATGGAATTGGTAATGTCTACTGGAATTGTTGCTCACCATTTCTAAACAACAATGAAAAAAAGAAGTTATTCTCGTAATACAGACTCATCCTGGCACGGAGGGCTCTCACGAGCTGGAGCAACTCTTTCTTGACTCACCAGGATCCCATGTGTCTTGTACGGTCAGATTTCCAGCCCAGATGAAGGTGTCAGACTTTCCTCCTCAAACTCGTAGTCTGATGAAATGTGGTGTTACATTACCTACAACCCCATTACTAAAATTCAGCACATTATGATTTGGGGTGTGCAATGTACATCTCCCCCGTAACAATGAGGTCTGAAAACACATGAAAATTGGCATGGTCAGAAAGTATAGCTACAACATTTCCTCTCAGCTTTACTTGATAAAGAAGCTAGTAGAAATTAGAATAATTGCTAATTAAATGTATTTTTTTAAAAAATCAGGAGAGTAGTAGAAACACCAGCATACAGTTTCCAGGGTGGAATGTGACGTTTAATAAAAAAAGCAATTGTCCTTAAGTTTTCCAGTTTGTAAGGTAAAGCTGTTGAAGTTGAATGATGCTGTCGAAACGCTGCCAGTGCGAACTTGTGAGTTAATATCATGGAACAAACTGAGTCAACTGAAGTTTGGAAATAGCTCCTTGAGGACTGGTGTATATGTTGAGAACTTCTGCCCTTACTCGCAGAAACGCAGCAGCCGGCTCTCTGGTACTGTCCATGTCTTAGCCATCAGCTACAAACCAATTGGTTATGTCTTTTATCCTGAGACACTGCTACTCCTTGAATTTTTTTAAGAATTAAAACTATATAGCATAATCATCTGTTCCCAAATAAAAAAGAGTAAGGCAGAATGTTTCCCCTGCTTAGTCCGAAAAGTTGAGGATATATGGTTTTATCTCAAGCCCAGGAAAACATTACCTGCTCTGGTCCCAATAACAAACCTGGTCTAGATTTCCCAGATTTTGCCTCTGACGGAGAATAACAGAACAGGTCAGAGTCTCCACACCAGGCTCCAGGCTTTACTGCCCCTCGTTCTCCGGGGATACGTGGGGGGCCTTCCCTTTCTCCAGGGGCTGTGTGCCCTTAGCAGCTGACAGTCTTCTTTGCCAGGTGCATTCCTGGGATGTCGGAGGCATTGATTACATTGTTGTTGTTTTTTCTCTTCTTGCTCTTTAGGGGTCTGATTTCTTGCTTACTCATTTGGAAAAAGTGTGGTGCAAATATCTCTCTCCCTCCCCTGCCCCCATGTCTCAGATACCTTCAGAAACCGTGCCCTGCTCCCTTGCATAGTAAGGGGCGAACTGTTAAAAGACTTGGTTATTCTTTGGCCAACATTCCTTTAACAGATTAGTTGGCATGTTCTGAAGATGAAGGCAAATTTAATCCAGAAAAGCATAAAAGTTCATGACCAGTCTGAGCAAATAACTTAGGGGAAAAAAATCCTTTGAAAGAAAGAAGTTCAGGGCTGTTTCAAACACAGGATCATCTTTTTAAATGTCACATTCCACCCTCTAAACTTCATGCTGTTGTTTTTACCACTCTCTGGATTTTTGTAAAATTATATTTAATTCTTCTATTTTAAAACAATGAAATCCCATCCCCCTGCTTTTTACAAAGGCCAAACATAACATGAAAATACCACAGAATGCTCAGTGGGTAAAAGGCAAACAGATTGTGATGAGACACTGACTTAGCTGTAGAAAGGTTTGTGTTCAGAGTCACTGGGAAGCAGAAAACAACTTTACCTTTAAAACACTGCCAACATTTGGTCAGAGAAAAACAAAAGGTCTCAGGTTTCCATGAGATCCTTTATACTTAACAACTTAAGGAACTGCTTCTTTTTGTTAAGTCTGAATGGGGCGCGGGTATGTGGGGCATAGTTTAAGATTTAAAAATAGAAGCTAAGTTATCTCAATATTCCAAGGTTTTTAAGGTTACAGGCAGTTTCTCACAATAATAAAAAACGCTGTCTTGAGAGAGTCCTGTAATCAGAAGACCTGGTGTCTGTTCCCAGCCTGGGAGCTACTTAGCTGTGTCTTGAAAGCACTCAGACTTTCTGCAGTCTGGTCTCCCGTTAAATAAGGAATAGAACAAGAACATTTTCAAGGTAGTTTCCTGCTGTTAAAAGGCTCCACTATGAACCAGGCACCAGTGGCTCATGCCTTTAATCCTAACTACGCTCACGAGTCTCAGGTCTAAGGGATGGAGGTTTGAAGCCACTTGAGCAGATAAATCTAAGAGATTTCTTATTCCCAGTTAGCCAGCAAAAGGCCAGACTTGGAGTTATGGTTCAAGTGGGAGAGTACTAGCCTTGAGTGGAAAAAGTTAAGCAAGAGTACCAGCCTTAATGCACTGGCGTGCACTCATGCACACACACACACACACACACGCACACACGCATGCACGCAATATCCTCCATTATCATTGATTTTTTCAGTGCATCCTGGGAATTTCCTTCTGACGTGGTAAGCTTACTTGTAGATATTCTTCACAAGTTACAGTACTGTCTTTCCTTGGTTTTACATTTGATTTCTGTGCCTAGTATTCTGCTAATTCCAATGTTTTTGTGTTTACAGGAGAAGATTCTTCTGTGGCTTCTTCAGTTCATGCAAGAGCAAGGCATCTCACTGGACGAAGTGGACCAGGACGGGAACAGCGCGGTTCACGTGGCCTCTCAGCACGGCTACCTCGGGTGCATACAGGTATGGGCCCGCTGCTGTGCACGCAGAAAGCAATCACACACACGTGCAAACTGCATTCACCGGGAGAATGTGCGCATTGAATTGGCTTCTGTATTACAACAAGCAATGAAGAATTGTAATGGTATCTTTATGTTTCAAAAACTCCACAAAATGTAAGCATATACAGCCCTAACAGTGTCTCCTGGATGTCAGAAGGTGTCGAAAGAGATTTGTTCTAGAGGTTGGATGCATGGCTCAGTTGGCAGAGCGCTATAGACAATGAGTACAAGCTCAGGTATCAAGTTCGAGTCCCTGTGCAGACCAGAAAAGAAAAGGGACTTGTTCTGCTCTCTCAACATTACTGTAAATCGTGTGTCAAGGGAAGGTGGATATTAACCTCCATATTCTAAAGACAGCAGGGAAAGCACTATCAGACACCTTGTCTCTCAAGTGGTACACCATTCTTTATTAGCCCCTGTGCTCCAACACCCCACTTCTTCCTGTGGTATATGAAAAAGTAGGACAGATTTTCCAGGGCTAGATCTAGAAGTTCTTCATAGCAGAGAGAAACAGATCAGAGAGAAACAGTGCTATGGTTTCCTGTGTTCTCTATAGAAGGGCCTTGTCTTACGGCTCAGAATCGGAGCATTTAGGTACACGGATCCTCTTAGACCTTTGGCAGAAGAGGCTGCCATGGCTGGCCCACCATTCCACCCAAAACTCAAGTAACACCATGCATCTGGCGGCATGCCCTTGAATTTCTTCATCTTCTAAGTATGCAATGATGTTGAAAGATTGTAGAGCCATAAGAAGGAGAGGAAAGCTGGCGCCCCGCCCACAGCCACATGGGAGGAAATCCAAGAGTGCAGGAAGGCAGTCTTCCTGAAGAGGAGATGGTGTCTCCTCTGCCAGCTGACCGCTGGCTGTGTATGGTACAGCTGAGCCAAACCAGATGCCACGGCCAGCTGGGGGGCGGGGGGAGTGCGCCTGGAACTGGTCTTCTGAAAGTTTGAGGTCTGAACCTAAAAACCATGTGGACCCCTGGTTCCTTTCTCTGGGACAGAGGAAAGAGAAGGAGGAGGAAGGGTAGACAGCTGGGGAACTAGAGCGCACAGACAGGGAAGCATTGAACGGCAAACAGTTGAAACTGAGGTTGGGCCTAGAATTTCATTGACTTTTAAAATGGTTTTTGCAGGACTATGGACTGCACCCAGGGCCTTTGTTAACATGCTAGGCAAGCACTCTACCACCAAGCTACAACCTCAGCTCTGGGATTTTATTTTTGACAGTAAATCATAGTTACCAGAACCAGACCAATCAAATCATTCATATTACTGAAAACAGCATTATGAATTTGTTCCTACATCTCAGGGAAAGGAAAACAGACAACATCTAGTTGAAGTCTGTGACTCAGAGAAAATTCTTCCACCTCAATGATTTCATACAGTCCAATATGTGATGTATATATAACATATTACATGTTTCCCAGCTTCATATTTTGACTTACGTGTGTGTTGTTTTCTGTATGGCAAGTGCTGCATGCTTATTTATCCAATAGACGCCCATTGAGGTCCTACTGTGTGCACGTGGACTAACTGCAACAGAAAACTGGGCAGTGAAAAGCAGGTGAGCAGGAAGAGAGGAAGAACAGAACGGGAGAATCTAAGGCAGAATCAAAAACATGAAATACAAGAGACTCCTAAAAACAAAGCAGTGATGACAGCAAGAAGCTTCTGAGAGTGTGTGCTCACACACTTCTACTCTGAGGAGAGCTCACGCGAGAGGAAATGCTCACAGGGCCTGAACAGCTTCCCATTTTTGTGGGCAAACCAAGCATCTTCTCATTTCAGGCACCATTTTTCACAAGGAGTGATAAGAAATTGCAAAGTATAGATATGAGAGAGGCATAATTTCCTATCCGAATCTGCAGAACGGTGTAAAGAGAGAACATTATTTTAGAGGGGGCAGCAGGAAGGAGGGTTAGCAAGTGGCATTGCAGAACCAGTTCCTACAGCGCAAGCAAATAGAAATGGTAAACAGGAGTCCATTCCCCCCATCCTACAGGCATCTCTGACTTTACAAAAGTTCTTTAGGAATCCAAGCATCAAAAGGGGGAAAAAACTGTCTCACCACAAACATTGCACTAATGTGAATTCAGTAATGTGTGTGGTGCATTTCAGAAAGGAAAGGAATTCTTAGACTCAGCAATCTAGCTCTCTTCCCAGCCTCCTCCTCTGTAAGCAGCAGGTGGGAACTGATAGTGGTTGGGCTGGCTCATCAGACCCTGAACAGAGACACCTGTCATCAGCCTCGGAAGGTCTCTGGCAGTTCTCGGTTGTATGTGTTGGTATTCCACCCTTCCTCCAATGCCGTAGTTCTGGAAACTGGCTCTGGGAAATGAAGACAAGTCCTATTCAACATTCTGTTACAGGGGAGAATTCCAATAGTAGAAGTTCTTGGAACGACCAACATATAGTCTAACAACATGAATACCAGGAAGCTAAAACTGGAGGTGTCAAAGGGGGATGAGGTTAGGAGGAGGGGAAGACAAATGGCGAGAGGAAAGATGGGAGAATGCAGTCACAATATTCAGTGTACGTATGTGAAGGTGGACCCAGGGACACTGAGGGGATGGGGGGGGGGGTTGGGAGAGATGGGGAAGTACGACAGAAGGTATGACATTGATCAAGATGCTTTGCACTCACAAACTGACCTGTTGGTTTGTGCCTATAAGTCTACAAGTAAATCCAATCGATAGTAAAAGACAAAAAATTACACTTGGACATGACAAATTAAACATTCGCAAAGGAGGATATTCTTAGGAGAGGATCACAAGGGCTCAATTGCTATGTGCATAGGATCATATGAAATGATTCGCATCAAAATGAATTCCAAGAAATGAGAAGCAACAGACTTTTTTATTTTACTATTTGTGGGTTTTTTTTTCTGTTTTTCCCCTGTTGTCCCTGTTTCTGATTTCTGTACCTTTTGTCTCATATGTAAGTTTATCTGATTTGGAGATACGGGGGGAACCACAGAAATGGTGGGGTACAGGGTGAGCCAATGCAGCAGTGGGACTCACTAGACACTGTTAAAAATCAACTATACAACTTGGGGGTAGGAAAGGGAGGGTAATGTACTCTTTATCTGACTTAGGTAACTGCAACCCCTCATTCATCACTTTTACAATAAATTTAAAAAAAAAACAATAGCTCTACAACAGAGCTATTTAAAGATAATAAAAACAATTATTGAACACGCAAACACACAAGGTGCCGTTACAGTCATGTTTAGAAGGAGGCTGTGATATAACCACGTCCTTCTGCTTTTTCTGACAGACGTTGGTTGAGTATGGAGCAAATGTCACCATGCAGAACCACGCCGGGGAGAAGCCCTCCCAGAGTGCCGAGCGGCACGGGCACACCCTGTGTTCCCGGTACCTGGTGGTGGTGGAGACCTGCATGTCACTAGCTTCGCAGGTGGTGAAGTTAACCAAGCAGCTCAAGGAGTAAGTGGTGTGCGCGGGCCCGGGAGGGAACGAAGCCGGACCTGTCATCCGCAGTGGTTAGCTGGCAGCCAAGGGAGCTGAATCCCTAGGAACTGCCTCTGGTCCTCCCCCATCCTAGCCGTCCACAGGCAGTGTTTGGGCTCACCACACCGCCATCTTTGCCAAGGCAAACCACAAAGTACAGAACAGGCTCCCTGAAAGGGAATGAGGAGAGGGCCTCTGCTGGGTTCCGAGGGCCAGACCGCAGAACACAGCACCCGACAGACCACACGGGCATCGTCTCTGACCTTTGCTCCAGGAAAACTTAACAAGCATGGCAGAGAGGAAAAGGCTAGAGATGGGCCTGCTTCTCAGCTCTCTCAGCAAGAGAAATATATAGGACACGTGTGGCTCATTCCTGTAATAGTACTTATTCACACGGCTGAGAGCTAAAGGATCACAGTTCTAAGCCAGCCCAGGCAGGAGAGTCTTCAAGACCCTGTCTCCAATTAGCCAGCAAAAATCTGGGCTGGAGGTATGGTTCAAATGGTGGAGTGTTAGATGTGAACGAGCAAGCTGAGCTAGTGTGAGACCTGGAGTTTAAGCCCCTTAGGATGGCAGAAGAAGAAGACGAAGAATCAGGAAGAAGAGGAGGAGGAAGAAGAAAGAAAGGAAGAAGCCCGGCACCAGTGGCTCACGCCTGTAATCCTCGCTATTCAGGAGGCTGAGATCTGAGGATCACGGTTCAAAGCCAGCCCAGGCAGGAAAGTCCGTGAAACTCTTATCTCCAATAAACCACCAGAAAACCGGAAATGGCGCTGTGGCTCAAGTGGTAGAGCGTTCGCCTTGAGCTGAAGAGCGCAGGGACAGTGCTCAAGCCCAGAGTTCAAGCCCCATGACCAACAAAAAAGAAAAGAAAGGAAGAAAAAGAAAAAAATATATATCTATTGGAATTACAGATTAAATAATCCTCATCTCCAGCAAATTTATTTTTTAAATCAAGCTGATGCTTAATGAACGCTCCCTCTGAATATACAAGTGTTCACTCATAAGTGAACTGACATCAGAAAGTCAATTCTTTCTTTGATCTGATTATGACACTGACACCCATTGCATACTAGAAAGCATTTCTGGGGGACTGCCAGCACTGAGAGCCCAGGTGGGTTTCTAGCAAGTAGAAGCTGCGTTAAGGAGCTAATTAGTGCCCAGCTGAGGGACTAAGGCTAGCAAAGCCTTCGAGTATTGCACCAACCAAATAACCATTGCCACAATGCAGAGACGTACCAAAAATCAGAATCAGTATTCAAAGAAAGATTGATAGATTAGAAGAAAAAAAACCTTAAAAATTAATTTTAGATGGAAAATATAATCTTTTAAAATCTAAATGTATATATGTATGTACAGCATGCATGTATGTGTAATAGTGAAATATGCACAAACTATTATATAGTACATGTGGTATAGCTTAGTCGATGCACACATGCATATACATGCACACACACATACACACACACATCCTAAATACAGCTCATTTCAATCAAACAATGGCCAGGAGGGGTAGGAGGCCTAAATTTGTTGTTAGTCTATATCATACAATAATATGGCAGGGTCTTAGGCTCTTGGGAAGCCTCCCTTATTGCTCTGTTTCTACTTTCTTGCCCCTCCCCTTCCAATAGCTAAAATAATCTCTGTAAGCAATCTAGACTTCCTAGAAAATAAAACTTTTAAGACTTAAAACATTTAAAGTAACCAGGCACTGGTGACTCATACCTGTAATCCTAGCTACTTAGGAGACTGAGATCTGAGGATCTTGGTTCAAAGAAACTGTCAGACTCAACAGCCTAACATATGTAATCTTCTGAACCTTTAAGGAAACATTTGCTGGATCCTAATACGTTAGACAACTTCAGTTTTCAATAGATCAGTCATCAGGATGAGATCAAATAAGATCTTAGACTTGTCTAAGGAATGAAATGTTAGGAGTAAAAATGCTGCTGAGAAAAACAAAAAGTGCTGGGGCTTAGGAGAAATATTCTCAGAATCTAACAGGATTAGATTTAGACAGACATGGTAATCCCCTGCAAGAAGTGCTAGGCTTCATCTCTAACCTGTATCTAAGATACCCTTGTTATTTTAAGAATACTTGTAACTCTTCATTTTGCTTTATGTCTTGGCGTGTGTGTGTGTGTGTGTGTGTGTGTGTGTGTGTGTGTGTGTGTGTGTGTGTGTCTTGGTCGTGGGGCTTGAACTCTGTGCCTGGGCGCTGTCCCTCAGCTCATCAGCTCAAGGCTAGCACTCTACCACTTGAGCCACAGCATCACTTCTGGCTTTTTATCTGCTTATGTGGTGCTGAGGAATCGAACCCAGGGCCTCCTGCATTCAAGGCAAATTCTCTGCCACTGAGCCACCTTCCCAGCTCCATGAAATCTTGATGCTAACTGTAGATTAGTTCCCTATTGCGGCCACAAATTACCACAAAATGAGTGGTTTAAAATAGCACCAAGAATTTTGTTACTTTTGTAGGTCAGGTGGCAGGTCTGACAAGACCAAAATCAAGAGAAAAGTTTGCATCACTCTCTGGAAGCCATTCAGGTTACAGACAGAACCTGCAGCTGAGGAGAGGGGTTCACAGTCATCCTCTGTGGCTCACAGGCCTCTTCTCCCATTGACCCCCTCCCCTCCCCGCCCCCCCATAACCCCCCTCCCGCCCGGCCGCTTCCAGCCCCTCCCTACTTCTGGTCTCTTCCCACTACAGAGACACACACGTGACTAGATCGGTTTCACTCCCATGATCTATTTTAACTTTTCCTATTTCAAGATGAGCTGATGGATAGCTGCCTTCCGTTTGTCATGCGGATGATGGTGTAAATGGACATGTTGGGGAACCACACTATCACTACCAAGTCCAGTACAGGCCGCTTCTTCCCATAAAGGAAGAATCAGCTTGATTTGCATATTGCAACTTCTGTATTATGTGCACTTCCTGCAGCCTGTGGTACTTTGTCTTTTCCTTAACTTCAAAGCACATTCTAATACACACACTCTTACATCCAGGGAAAATGCACTGTTACCATTCATTGTTCTCTCCTTCTATAAGAAAATACCAAGTTAGTTCATTGTTAATCTAAGCGGAAATCATGTTTGTTTTGGCTTATTTCTGATATAATTACTTAAAATTCAATTGAGAAAGAGTATTATTTTGAAATACATCCTCCACCATATTTCTGTTCATATAGAGTTAAAAAAGAAAGGTAGAGAAAAAGAGAGTTTTCTTTAAAATGAGATTGTACTATATATAGCATTTTACTTATTTTTACTTACATATATTAAAGTAAGATATATATGTATGTCAATTTTTGTATGTCCATGTATACTCAGATAAATTATTATTTTAATAGGTGTCCTTATAGAAATAATTACACTTTGTTTACTAGTCTTATGAAGAACAAGTCGCTCAGAGTTCATGAATATTGTTTCCTTTGGAAATTTTCTGAACTATGAGTATGGAGATTGACACAGTTCAAGGCTTTTGCCTACTGCATTATCATGAAAATAGTAGTTGATAGCCATACCATACGCTGGAGAATGTATGTTCTGATTGTCTTCTGCAGGCAGACAGTGGAACGAGTTACACTACAGAAACAACTCCAACAGCTTCTAGAAGCCCAGAAATCAGAGAGCAAATCACTTCCTTCCACACCCAGGTAATACCACTCAGGTTGGTAGAAGAAACTCTTTAAGCCTTTAAGAAACCTTTAAACCTTCTTCTGGATTCCTTTCAATGTCTTTTAAGACCATGATGTAGGAAGCATCTTTTTGTACAAAGAAGAATAAAAATGAAATATCATAGGAACGGTGCTCATCTCTGCCTCTGCTACTGACTTCTTCCACACACAGATGTGCAGTGGGAATTAGGATAATTAGGATGTATAGGTTGATAAGTTATTGTAAATGAAATCGAAAAAGCTCATGTCAAATTCATGGGCTGGTGGCACATACCTGCGCTCCTAGCACTGGGAAGTCTGAGGCAAGAGGTGTGCAAGTTCAAGACTAGTCTGTACTACATAGTTCAAGGCCACCCTGAGCCTGCTCCCCAGGGAGACCCTGGTGCAGGAGGGGAAAAAGTAGCGAGATGAAATACACAAATTTAGTAGTCATCAGATATGAAGCATGTAGTACTGAAACTACATTTGACACAATGGAGTATTTGCATGCAGGTGGTTTGGAGAGCCATGAAGTGATCAGCCATGACTGCATGCTTACTTGAGTAATGCCGTGCCATGGCTGAGTGATGTGAACACGGTGGCCATCTTCTCACTTATCCATCTTCCTTCCAGCTCGCCCCCTTCACCAGCTTCCAGGACAGCCCAGTGGAAGGCTGCTGACGCTGACGAAGAGTCTCCAGCCAGAAGCAAGCCAGCAGTGCAAGAGGGAATTCAGGTTCTCGGAGGCCTGTCCTCAGCGAGCCGGCCCAGACCCAAAGCAAAAGACGAAGACTCTGATAAGATCCTGCGGCAGCTGCTGGGGAAAGAAATCTCAGAGAATGTCTGCACCCAGGAGAAGCTGTCTTTGGAATTCCAGGATGCACAGGCCGCCTCTAAAAATTCAAAAAAGATCCCTGTAGAGAAGAGGGAATTAAAGCTCGCCAGACTAAGGCAGCTGATGCAGAGGTCACTGAGTGAGTCAGACACAGACTCCAACCACTCCGAGGACCCCAAGAACACCCCTGTGAGAAAGGGAGACAGGCCCCGGCCCCAGCCCATTGTGGAGAGCGTGGAGAGCGTGGACAGTTCCGAAAGCCTGCACCTGATGATAAAGAAACACTCGGTGGCCTCAGGACGCCGGTTTCATTTCAGCACCAAGGCCTCCAAATCCCTGGACGGCCACAGCCCGTCTCCCACCTCCGAGAGCAGCGAGCCGGATGTGGAATCCCAGTGCCCAGCTGCGGGGAGGACTCCCCCTAGCCAGCCCTCTGGGGAGCACCCCCAGCCCAGTCCCGACAGCACTGCTGCCCAGAAAGTCGCCACGAGCCCCAAGAGCGCCCTCAAGTCTCCATCCTCCAAACGCAGGACATCTCAGAACTCGAAACTCAGGGTGACTTTTGAGGAGCCTCTGGTGCAGATGGAGCAGACGAGCCCCGAACTAAATGGAGAGAAAGAAAAGGAGTCGGGCAGGACCCTCCAGCGGAGCTCCGCGGCTGGTGAACCAGGGGAGCCACTGAAAAGGCCTTTTGGAACCTTCCGGTCCATCATGGAGACGTTGAGCGGCAACCAAAACAACAATAACAACTATCAGGCAGCCCACCAGCTGAAGACCTCCACGCTGCCCTTGCCCTCACTTGGAAGGAAGGCACCAGACGCCAAGGGAGACCCTGCGAGCAATGCCAGCAAGGCAAAGAACAAGGCAGTGAGTTCTATTTAGAGAATCCCCTTGCATAACCCTTGGTCACATGCTTCCTGAACTGTCACACATCCCTGCCCGGTGTGGCCGGGGAGGGAATCCGCAGAAGTAGTCCACAAGCGTATGCAGAAGGCCAAATTCATACGGTTCCACTGAAACATGTTAGTGTAGAGATCCCCTTCCTCTTCCCTTGGAAAATCCTCTGAGAGAGGCAGAATCATTAGAGATGGCTTGATCTTTAGACATCAGAGCTGGGTGGTCTTAGTACACAGTGCAACCACCAGTGAATACAAAATCAAGCCCTGCCTTGGCACTGATTCGGCCTTGGCAAGAGAGTTGGTTCTCTTCTTGGGACCAGATAGCTTATGTACAGGCCCAATGTTAAAAGCACATAAATAGAAACTTCATCTCTAGAGACTTTTCGTTGCTTCAACTTTGGAGTGACCTTTGAAATGAACATTGGCCGTTTTTAACCCAGACCTCTAAGTGTTGATTGGGGGCTAAATAGAGGTGAAGAGCTTTCTAGTACCCAGGGGATGGGCGCGTGTGACATATGCTCTAGTTTATGATTGCATTTATGGGGAACCACGTGCCCTCTAATCTGGGATTTGCATCCAGCAAATAAGAGATACAAAGATTTCTCTGAAGCAGTGTTGTCTGCATATCCTGTGCTAGTCACATCATGAAAACGCAGTGTAAAAGCCAAAATGCAAAACTCTCTGTTGAAAGAAATAGCTGAAATCCTCCATCATCCTTGCTAGATAAAACACTCACCTGGTACAGTGCTGGTGGCTCATGCCTGTAATCCTAGCTACTCTGGAGGCTGAGATCTGAGGATCTCAGTTCAAAGCCAGCCCAGGCAGAAAAGTCCATGAGACTCTTTTCTCCAATAAACCACTAGAAAACTGGAAGTGGCGCTGTGGCTCAAGCAGTAGAGTGCTCACCTTGAGCTGAAGAGCACAGAGACAGCGCCCAAGCCCAGAGTTCAAGCCCCACAACTGACAAAACACACACACACACACACACACTCACCAAAGGGTCTGAATCTCCATAATTTATTATTTGCTATAATGTTAAAAAAATCCCAGTAAAATGAAGTCTAAAAACTACCTAAATTCATAATCCAAGTCAAGTTTTAGAACCTTCTTGACTGTATTTTTAAATTACAAATCAATTTCCTCTGTAAAAAAAAAAAAAAAACTTCAGCATCTATATCCAATTTTCAACTCAACGTCCTTGTTTTGAAATCTAGAAAAGGCACACTTGTGGTTAAGTGCCCAGACCTTCTGTGTTAAATATGTTTAAACTTAAAACTGCCATATGTCAGATTTTTATGAGTAGCTTAATAGGGTCTCTGGATCAGTAGTAAAAGAAGCATCGTGCCCCACCCCTGGTTTTGCATGCTCCTTAAAGTGGATCCTGAGCTGCTGTGCCCTGGTCTGTTGCTAGCATGCCTCACGTTTTCTGAGACTTGTGCACGTGCTGAGCTTGTTGCATGTTTTCCGATGATTTTTAATTGCACCTCTTTAGGAGATGTACGGCAGCTGCTTCAGTCTTTCTTCTAACATGCTGGTTGAAGAGCATCTGCGTAACTCTGCACGGTACGTGAGGCTCCAAGATTTATTGTGCCACATTATTCTTCCTTTGCTTGAAACGCATGAGCTTGCAAATTGTGGACCTGTAGCACTCTCGGCAGATGTGACACTATGGAAGCAAAAGAAAGTTGGGACTCTTTCTCCAAATAGAAGTAGTCGATGGTAATTAGCTCTTTGGAAAATAGGGACTTTGTTCCAGCCTTAGTCAGAAGAATCAGCTTAGTTCACAATATTACTGTGTTTCTTATTTGAGTTTAACTCTCCATCTTTTTTCTAAATGGAACAATGGGCATTGAGATTAAGTGTTTTGTGAGCCTCTGATTCGAATCAGAGCTGAGGGTCAGAGCTGGAGCAGTCTCGGTTCTGAGTGCTGGCTGAACGGTTCTTCTGTCCCTTCCTGCTGATCTCAGAAGTGAGGTCTCACTACACTGGAACTTCCCCAGCTTCACACGGTGAGCTTTCATTTGGGTCCAGAAACCAATCTGGAAGACCCAACAGAACAAGTATCTTTCTTAAACAAAAATTTACCACTCACATGCATGGAGTATATGTGCACAAGGAGAGAGGACAATGCCACCAGTGACTGGGACATCTCCGTGGCAGCGTCCTTCTGCAGCCCACGGTGTGTCCTGTGCTGACTGGGCGGGCGGGCAGGCGGGAGGCGGGAGGACCAGCCGGAGAGCAAGCCAGCCAGGGGGACTTGATGCCCTCAGTGATGCTTGACTGGGGTTTTTTGAGAAAAGGTAAACCCCAAATTCATCTTAAAAAGAAATCATTCCTTTTAAATCATTTGAACAGTTGAATAAACAATTGAATTACATAAATGATGGCATGCTGTCCATCACTCTTCCAGAATCCTCCAGAGAAAGACAGACAGACAGTGTGTGCTGTACGTCTGTGTGTGTGTGTGTGTGTGTTTGAGTGTGTAAATTTCAGTTCAGAATACTAAGGTGAAAGAAACTAGAGCATCTCACTCCTCTATACATTAACTATACATAACTCCGCTATACATTAACCTATCCTTTATGACAGTTTTAGATTGGCATGTGTTTTCCATAAGAAGTGGAAGAGATTCTTAAATCTTTCTTTGCTTCCTTCTTACCTTCCTTCTATCCTTTCTTCCTACCTTCCTGCTTGCCTGCCTGCCTTCCTTCCTCCCATTCTTTCTTCCTGCCTTCCTTCCTTCCTTCCTGACTGCCTTTCCTCCTCCCTTCCTTCCTTCCTTCCTTCCTTCCTTCCTTCCTTCCTTCCTTCCTCTTTTTTGTTGTTGTTTGTTTTGTTTTTGCCAGTCCTGGGGCTTGAACTCAGGACCTGGGCACCGTCCCTGAGCTTCTTTTGCTCAAGTCTAGCGCTCTACCACTTGAGCCACAGTGCCACTTCCGGCTTTTTCTGTTTATGTGGTGCTGAGGAATCGAACCCAGGGCTTCGTGCATGTTAGGCCAGCACTCTGCCACTGAGCCGCCTTCCCAGCCCCTTCCTCTTTTGTTCTCTTTCATTCACTTCCATTCTTTCCTTATTTCTTTCTTCTCCTTGTCTTTCCTCTTCCTCCTTCCTTCTCCCTTCTTCCTTCTTCATATTGAAGAGAAATTATTGGTCTGTTACTCAGAACCGCTCAAAGGCAGGTAGAACAAACCTGATCGATTCCTTAGATAAATTATGGATGGTTAGGTGCTGGTGGTTCACCCTATAATCCTAGCTGAGATCTGAGGATTGTGGTTGAAGCCAGGCCAAGCAGGAAAATCCATGTCAAAAAACCAAGACTGTCAAAAAAAAGCCAAAAGTGGAGCTGTGGCTCAAGAAGTAGAGTGCTAGCCTGAAAGAAAAAAAAAAAAGCAAAAAAGCTCAGGGATCATGCGCAGGCCTTGAGTTCAAGCCCCAGGACCAGCAAAACAAAGCAAAACAAAACATAAACCAAGGTGAATTTTTCTAATTAAAATGAAGATTTCTTAAAGAACTTAAGACAAGAGTAGAATGTTGGTGTGAAAAATAACTAACTCTCGTGCCTGCCCCACTTTGCCAAGGCAGGAACCCAAGCAGTCATCTGCGGGTGATCACTTCAAATCTTGGTCCAAGATTTGCTTGGCTAGCAGGTGGCTCCTTTCTAGGTGGCCGGCTCGGCCTTGGGAAGGGTTGGAGCTTCTGAACACCCAGTCAAGGCCCTGGGAAAATGGGTGGGACTTTGGGTCTCAGGGTATGGATACTCTGGAATCACATTTTAGTTTCTACAATTTTTGAAAAAACAGAGACAATGCAACATTTTAGAGTGTGTCTGTTCTGTGGAGGGATTTCTGTTAGCTATTTATTTTTCTAAATGACACAGGGTGATAGCATAGAGTCTAAATTTCTTCTTAACACCATTTAAAATTAGATTCAGCCTTATTATTTTGAACAGCTTTTCCCACTATGTTTCACCTGCAGAAGATGGCTTGGTTTATAACGAGCAGATTTATCTGAACTTTCTCCTGCAAAGGATAAGTTGGTTTCGAGTTATTAGAATGCAAAGGAAATATTTGCAATGAATGGTCTTAATACACCAACGAAGCATTCATCTCTCCAGAGTTTCAATGTGTCTGAAAACTATAACGTGGGAGGTGAATGTTGATCCAGATACCCACAGGTAGAGCGTGGTAACGCCAGCTACCTCTTCCCCACCCCCCACCCCTCACCCTCTCTGACTACACAGCACTCCTACTGTCTGAGTGGTTATCAGCAGGTAAACCCTGACCCAAGCACCAGCACTAGAAGAGACTCCTTAAAAGTCTATGAAACCATAATCGCTATTATTAAGGTTTTTTGGTCAAATGAGTTAGTCACAGTAGAATCACATGCCCAAAGCCAAAAGCCCAAATTTTCCATAGACTTCAAAGTTACTCAAAAGCTACTTCAAAGAGAGTAATGTGGTGAACCCATGGTGGCCAGACACAGCAGGTCTGTGGCAGTGGTCCCCTGCTGGGCCCCATAGAAGTTACAGAGCCAAACCGGCCTTGGAATCGGCCATCCCAACAGAACTGCCTCTTCATTCCAGCAAGCTAATCCTGCCTTAGGAGAGCTCAGGAAACCTGAGAATAAATGATTTAGTTCTTCATCTCTGCCCACCTTGCCTCTCTTTCCAAAAGCCCACTTACAAATTGTATCCTTCCAAGGGTTGGCCATCGCTGGGGACATCTTCGTGCGTTTCAAAGAGCATGTCCTAAGAGGGTTGGCAAGGCGAAAGACAGCCCCGGAAAAGTTGGGAAGATGCCACCTTTAAAACAAGAGCGTGAGAGTATGGCTCAAAAGCACTTGCTAGCAAGTGTGAGGACCTTAGGTTCAATCCTCAGCACGCGCGCGCACACACACGCACACGTACACACATAACACGCACACACACACCCCAGAGGCTAACTTATCAATAAACTCTCTAGGATGGAGTTTTTCATTTCTTTATATGTTTGTTTGTTTACTTATTTATGAATGTATTAATTTGTTTGTGCCAGTCCTGGGGCTTGAACAACTCAGAGTGTGGGAGCTTTCCCTTACCTTCTTTTTTGCACTCTACCCCTTGAGCCGCAACTCCATTTCTAGCTTTTTTTGGTGGCTTATTGGAGACAAAAATCTCAGCTCCATCTCTCCGAGCTGGCTTTGAATCTCATCTTCAGATCTTAGCATCCTGAACAGCTAGGATTACAGGCCTAGGTCGCGTTGTTTTTTTTTAAGGAAAAATAATAGTGGTAGTTTAATATGCACCATACAGAGACTTTGCCAGAAAGCCTTCTGATACTGTCAGTCAGACTTTTCCTAGGCGGAGAGCCGTGCGGGGACGCATTGTCCCTGGACCACATCCTTGGGTTTTGCTGAACCCGAATCAGGTCTGGTCCCTGGACTCGGGAGGTCATAATCAAAGAGAATTTTTAAAAAAGACAGTTAAAATACCAGAAATGAAAGCACACCTGTGCCGCGACCCCACATAGCTTCACTAAACCCCATTTGAACTCCCAGTGTCTCTGTTGGTGCCTGGCACATAGGTGAACCTCAAAAATATTTGCAGAGAAGCAGAGCTACAGGGAGAAAGGCGAAAGAGAGAGATAAAGAGAAACAACAGGGAAAATTCTGGGCCTGTTATCCCAGAGCGGGAGCGCTCTGCCTGCCGCAGGCCTGTGGGGTGGTGGCGCCTAACTCCCTCTGGTGAATCTGGCTCATGATGACATTTTCATACCTTCAACCAAAATCCTTTCTTAAGAACATAGATCACCTGCATCCGGGGCTTTCAGTGAAACTAACGGAGGTCAGAGGGCCAGCAAGCTCTTTCTTCAGCCAACAGTGGAAGCACATTCGTGGCAGGCTGTGGGCGCTCATTCGTGCTGCGTCTGCGTGGTGGAACCAAACGCTGTGGCTGGCCCAGTCAGTGTTTTAGTTACTTGGGGGGAAAAATCTGTTATATGATTTTAAGCCTTTTCTGTTTTTCAATTTTGGTCACTCAGTGTGTGCTCTCATATCCAAAAATGAACGCCAGGAGAGCAAGTTATCAGAATGATTCAGGCCAGAATTATCCTAGGACTTTAGTGCTTCAAATACTGGTACCTCAGGACTTGACGATCGAAAGGTTCAGGCAAGTTGGGACTGCTCTGATATTATTCAGTTGTGAGGTGCTGTTTTACTTGTTTGGATTCGGCTCTCTCTGATCATCCAGGTTGTATCCTGCAGAAAGCGTATGCTTTTGAGGGCTTTTGTTTTTGTTTTTGTTATGGTGGCATCAAAATTTGAACTCAGGGCCTTGTGCAGTTACACAGTCACTCTTACCACTTCAGTCACTCCGCCAGACCCTTTTTATGGTCTAGTTCAAGCGCAGGGCAACCTGGACTGCAATCCTCCTATTTATACTTCTGGTTTTTTGCTGGGATTACAGGCAGATGCAACTGTGCCCAGCCACTGACTGAGATGTAGGCTCCTGAACATTCATGCTCAGGCTGGCTTTGGAGCTGGATTCCTAGAGTTGTGCATGCCAAGTAGCTAGGATTACAGGCTTGACCCATGTCACACCAATTTGTCACACAGCACCCCTGGTATTAAAACAGAAATGTCCCATCAAATATTATCTGTAGAACGCAACCTATGCTTTTTTTGAATTCTTTATTTATAATAGACTTTTTTTTCTAGTCAAGATGATGTGACACATACGAGTAACACTCACATTGTAATAAAAGCTGGCTGTCCCCAGTCTGTTTTGTCCCTTCTCCTACTCCTCGGACTCCATCCCTTGCTTTGGCTTCCACTATCTTCTCCAGTATTCTTTATGTCTAGATAACATGCTCGTGGACATTTTCAGTTTCAGATAACATCCTCATTATCTCTTGGCATCCTGCTACAGAAGATAAAGATAACCACAGCATTCCAGATGCTTTCTAAATATTTACTGGTTTAATATTCACAACGACAAACGCCACAGATACTGTAGCAATGATGGTTACAAACTGTGGAGCCGGGATTTAGATTTGATCAGTCTGGCTCCAGACGCTATATTCTTAAGAGAGAACCACCAACAGAACATCTAGCTCTCTTAGCATTCAATCCCCTCTTTCGCTTTCAGCTAAATCATTTGAGCTTTGGGTCAGGCCTTAGTGTTCATTATTGTTCTTGCTCTTAAATATTAATCACAATGGTTTGGTGTGACCCAGTAAATGACATGTCTCCTTCTCATATGGTTAAATTTTCCCCTGAGAATAATTACTCTATTTTCTTAGATTACAACATGCTAATCAGACACTTTTTGCTTAAGACAAAGCCCATCTTTGGTTGCATTCAGACAATTCGATTGTCTTACTTTCTCTCTTTTGGAGAGACCTGCTCCTCTGCCTTTGTCCGTTTGTCCACATGCCAGTCTACACTCTCCTGACCACCTGGCTTTCGCATCGGCATCATCCCCAGAGTGCCTTTGGCTGCTCACCTATGTCGACACTACCGGCTGAACCTGTCTGCCTTTTCCTTTTCTCTGTCTTTGCTTGATTACTTATTTGTGATTAGGCAGACATGTCTTCACACCAAGGAAGATGGTAAGTAATGAGGTTTTTGTGACCTTGTAGACCTAGAATATCTTAAATTTGCTGGATTAGGGGTGTTTAGCTGTGTGTGGAGTACTATGAAGAATTCTCTGGGATTCTTTTTTTTTTCCTTCGGTTGTGGGACTTGAACTCAGGGCTTGGGAAACTGGACTTTTGTGTTGAGGCTAGTGCTTTACCACTTTGAGCAACAGCTCCATTTCCAGTTTTCTGTTGGTTGATTGAAGATAAGAGTCTCACAGATTTTCCTACCTGGGCCAACCTCCAACCACAATCCTCACATCTCAGTCTCCAAAGTAGCTTGAATACATTGCTTCATTTTCTTTTACTTCCTTATGTCTGTAGAGAAAGCCTAGATCTTTTCAGATCATTGACACTTTAGGTGCTTTTATGATTCTTGTTTTTCTTCCTACTATTTTGACTTCTTGATTCTTGGCCATGATATGAGTCTGTTTTCATTCCTGTGATGGTTATTTTAAAAAATGCTTTCATATAATTTAAAAAAATCTTTTATCCTCCAATTTCTCTGTTTGGGTCTATGATTATTAACCAGCATATGAAAAAGATACAAGTAGGTAAAACTACAGGAAGGGGAAACTAGCTTAGTACTTGTGAATTTTTCATGTTCTACTCAGTTACCATGTGACCAAACACAAGGCATTCTTCTCAGACTTTTCAGATTCAAGCTTAGTGGAGGGTAAAGAGTATCAGAAGTGATGCCAATGTGAGTAAAATATGAAACCCTCTTGCATATGCTCATCACCTGACATTGCTTTGATCCCAGTCACCTGACTATAGATTGCCTTGATCACAGTCACCTGACTGTAGATTACCTTGCTCAAGTCAGTACGGTTGAAGAATTACTTCTGGAGCCAAATTCAAATGTGTTCAGACAGCATATTGCTGCATGAGTAGTTTATTGCTTAAAGAATAGTTCTTATGACATAACGTCTTGTACATCTCATTGTTGCAATGGGTCCACCTGTATCCCTAGTTAAATGATTTGTTTTTTCCCTTCCCCTCCACAAATTATACAAACATCAAATAGAATGAAAGCAGGGGCTATACTGTGGGGGAGGGACATACAAAGCAACAAAGAAATCATCTTATAATTGCGTTAGAAACAATTGCATGAAAGGAAAAAAATATTTGAATATTTATCTTGGGGTTCATTCCCCTAACATCAACTTATCTGACCTTTTCTGCTTGACTCAGGCATATACTAGTTATTGCAAATAAGGGAAACCATGGGATCTATGTTTCTTTGGGCCTGGCTTACTTCATTTAATATAATTTTTTCTAAGTCTTTCCATTTCCTAACAAATGGGGCAATGTCATTCTTTCTGATGGAGGCATAGAATTCCGTTATGTATATATACCACATTTTCTTGATCCATTCATCTACTGAGGGGCATCTGGGTTGGTTCCATATCTTAGCGATGGTAAATAATATAAACATAGTCGTGCTGGTAGCTTTAGTGTGGTCTTGTTTGTGATCATTTGGGTAAATGCCCAAAAGTGGGATTGCTGGGTCATAGGGGAGCTCTATGTAGAGTCTTTTGAGGAACCTCCATACTACTTTCTAAAGTGGTTGAACAAGTTTACACTTACATCTTTGGGGGGGAGGATCAGGTGGGGGGAGGGGGGAGTATGGGAAGGGATGGAAAGGGGAAACAAAGAGGAGGCAACAATGCTTGATAAGAAATGTACTCATTATCTTGCCCATGTAATCGTAACTCCTCTGCACGGTATTTTCACAATAAAAAATAAAATTAAAAAAAAAAGAATAGTTCTTACGAAAAGAAAATGACTTGCCTTTAGGAATGAGGTCTGCTTCTGTATGGTTTGAGGATGGATAATTTCCATTTGGAGTGAGCTGTTTAGGGACGTGGCCTGATGCCTTGATCATCATTGTATAATTTGAGCCTGTGTTTTCTCCTCTTTCTTAGGCATAATGACACCTACAGAGAAATGAAGAAATCCAGAAGCATAAAGCACATTGCTGAGCCAGAGTCCAAAGAACTCTTCTTGTAAATCACGTTCCTGATGTCCTCACTGCTGCCCATTGGACTTCACTGGACGACCCACTGTGGAAATAGACCCATGAGCACCACATTCACCAGCAACACTTGTCAGGATGCCTTAAATGTATATATCGTATGAAACCATAATAAGATCCATTTGTGGGTGATATCTGTGTGTATATGTATATATATATGGATGGATATATATATATATATATACACATATATATATAACTTGGTTCCTGAAAGATGCTGTTTAAGAGCATGGTTGGGCAAATGTATGCTTTTAAATATTGGATTGATTCAAGCTATGTGAAGGATGTTTGCCAAACCACTGACGCCATTTCTATTCTGTCAGTTGCATGAGTGTTTGCTAATGGTGGTAGAACTTCTCTTTCCCCAGAACACAGGCAGCTTTGGCTCAGCTCTTCAGTGACACCAGGTCAGTGGTATTGTCAAGAATGTTTTTTCTGTCATTTCTACTTTTTTGTATAAGGGAAATAAAATGATGTTAACAGCCACCTATAAGCTCGGGGCACCTACTTTCTAATAAATGCAGGATGTTCTGATTTCTAAAGGGCTTTGGAAGTATTTTGATGGCTGATATTTGGTTTCAAGAACAAACTTCCCCGTTTAGCTGTTTTCCCCTAGGGGGTCAAATAAAACATTCTATATTTTATTAAGTACTAACGGACCAGACAAGTATGTAAAGTAAGCCAATCCTTCTGCCTTCTCAGATCTCAGCGTTGACATGGGAAAATGCTAATGACGACCAAGTCTTTCGTCCCCTCCTTGGGTCCCTCTCTTTTTCCTCTCTCTAGCACATTATGAGGCTTGCCTAATCCCGTCCGGAGACAGCACGGAGCCCGGGCTCATTCCAGCCTTATTTTTCTTGCCGCCCTTTCCATCCATGCAAGTAGTAAGTTCCAGAAGGTTTCATCTTATCATATAAAAATACATTTCTGCTGAAACTTCAAGAGTTTTATTTGCAGAGTGTTGGCAGGGCCTATAAAAGGCCTGTCAAGTTCTAGTTTCAAAGAAGAATACAGGACAGGGTGCTATATACTGTTACAGTGACTAGCAAGGTTATTGAAACCCCACAGGGACAGTTCTGTGTCCTGGTATGAATAACTGAATCTAGAGGCGACCTCCCTTCCCTACGCAGGTCTCTTGGGCATGCTGAGATACAATGAGGTAGAGAGAAAGGACTTAATAGGTACCAGAAACTACTATATGATCATCACTAGAGGTTTTATAGAGTGGAAACTCGAACTTCGGGAAAGTTTTGTATACGTTTGCTTGTTTTTTCTATGGCCCTATTGAGCGGGCCTCCACACCGTGTTGTGTTAGTGCACTGTGCACAGGAGCTTGAGCTTTGGTCCTTGCTCCACTTCGGGACAGCTCTTTGGTTATGGGCACTGTCTCCATAAGAAATCTGGAAGAGCTTGACCTACATACACATCTAGGAAATGGATTCCAGCCAACTTTTATCAAGCAACGTGTGTGGGTGTGGGTGTGGGGGTGGGGGTGTGAGTGAGTGTGTGTTTTCAGTCAGCTTCTTGTGTCCTGGCTCCGGTGCTGAGATGCTGTTTTCCGGTCTGGTGTCACAGGTAGTTGCACATGCCTTGCGTTGCCTCTTTGTTGAGTGAGATTCTCTGTGTCTGATTTGGGCTCCATGGCCTCATCTGCCCCCTTTTACTGTTTCCTCACAATCCTTAATGGAGAGCATGTGGCAAGCACATAGGAAATGTAGATTCTTGTGCTTTCTGCCCGGAGCAGAGGAGGGACTGGGAATCACACAGAGAGGCACCCTTGGGACACAGCCAAGAGTGGGGCCTGTAAAGAACCAGGGAACGGAGAGCACTGTGTCTGGCCCCCAGAGCTCCATTTCCTTCTGAAACTCTGTTTTCACTTGAGAGAGACAAAGGATGCGGGCCTTAGGAAATCAGCTTTGAAGCAAGACAGAGAAACTTGTCAGACATAGCAGAGAGAACTTCCAGAAAACTGCCAATTCAACTCTTCCGTGCAGGTGACATTTTTAGCGCCTAGAGCGCTAGGTACAAAAAGAAGCAGAGAATGAAATAGGGAAGACAGAGAGGTTGAGCACATTCAGGTCAGCAGACTGTAAGACAGCGTTTCTAGGTTTCTAAAGTCCATGATGTTGCTGGGACTCTAAAAACGTGTGTGGCTCTTTGGTCACGCACAGGCATACCTGTACTGTTCAAATTCTTCCCGATGTGAGTAAATTAGGGTTCTTTGACTTTAGTCAAGATGATGACTGTATTTCTTACAACTCCATTTTGTGTAGCATTTTCCACCTGAAAACACCAAGTCTTATTTTGCTATGGGAATCAGGAGACATTTACATACTCACGGAAGAGTGGGTTTCCTTTTCGTAAAGAGCCCTTCGGGGCCCCAGCTCCAAGCCTCCCCATTGAGCTAGTAAAATGAGTGCAGCTCTATCTGCATGCCTAATTACACGGAGCAGAGGAGGAAACCCGGTTCTATCATAAAAGCAAAAACACGATCACAACATCTGTCAGCATCTTGTAAAGATTGGCTCCTTTTATGACTCTAAAAGGACTTGTATTGCCAGAGTTCAGCACATCAAATTAATAATGTTTCATAGAAAAGATAACAAAATACCAGACCATCAGCACCATAAGATGGATGTTGAGGAAGTTAAATAAGAACGAGGAATTCATTGCAAGAGTCAGTACTGTCCTCTCAGAAAAAGTGGAGTTCACTATGTCTGCCGCCATGACCCCCCTGTGGATAGGTCTGTCTTTATGCTCTGTATTATTACTGGTATTGTTTCCTCATTATTCTTTTTTAAATTATATTTTTATTATCTTTAAGTGGTGGTTCAGAGGGATTACCATTCCAGAAAGCAGTTCGTAAGCGCAATGCATCTTGGTCAGTGTAACTCCTCTCATCCTTCTTCCCTCCCCCTTTCCTCCCTTTCCCTAGTTTCATAGGCTATGCATTAAATATTGTGACCACATCCCCCTTTTCATCCCTTTATTTGGCATAAACAGTATATATCAGTATAAACGCTGATTCCTGTCTCCTAATGAGACTCTAAAGTCCTGATCTCAGTATGATCTCAGTAGCACCTCTATTAGATGGTGGTTAGTAAAATAGATAACAATTTTCCATACTCTTAAATCTGGCCTCCGGAGGCCTCTGCCACTGGCTTTCTGTGGGTATTTTCCTTAGCTGAAGAGAGCAAGAGCCTGGCTCTTGCCCCAAAGCACACACCCTCCCTGGGCATCCTGGAGCCGGTGACTCCTCAGTGTGGATGACCTTATACCCGCCCTTTGCTCCACTCTGGACAACTCCACAAGTCCCATCTCCACACTAGAGCCAACCTTCCACTTCCAGTTCCCTTCCCGTCCAAGGCACTGATCCTGAGAGCCGTTGACAGCCAACTGTCAATGTCCAGATCAGGCCCAAGCTATGATGTCAGTCACATGCTCAAGACTTCACATCCCAAGGAAATTTGCTTCGTTGTATTTGATACTTAAACTGACTTCTACGTCAGAGGACCTTTCCTTAAGACCACATTTCACCCCGTTTACAGTGGTTTTTCTCTTAATAATATTGGGACACATTCGAATCAATTTCAGATACATACATGGAATTTGGACCATTTTATTATTATGAAGGCCCAGGATCAAATCAAACTACATGTGCTAAGGGAGAACTATTTAGACAAATTTCATCAAAAATGTAGCCCAGGTTACGTTCCAGTAATGTAACATTCTAGTAATGATGTCAATGTAGTAGCCTGTGGTCATTATTTTTGAAACATACATTACCAGGACCCTTCCACAGGCTCCAGGCCCAGATGTAACCCATTAACCTATTTCATTGCTGACTTGGGATATATCCTGAATCTCCACAGAACTATCATCTCTGCAGTATGGCATTCATCAAAAATCAATATAAAACATCGCCATGTAGAAAAACGTTTCCATATATTTTATAAAGCTTATTGAAACCATCATGTGTTTTGAAAAAAAAACAATCATTCTATAAAGGACCATAAAATAAATTCCTCTTAGGGTTCGTGCTATGGGGGAAATCAGCCTCTAGAGGCAAGCTAGTGTGCTTCTTGTTATTAGCTAATAAGAACCTTATATAACTTTTTGTCTTGCTTGCCACAGGGGGGAAGAAAATCAAGTTTCCATTCAATCACAGTAGCAGTCCTTAGACTAGAATAGAATATCGGTTTTTCCACATCCTTCTTTTGTTCTGACGTGTGTGTGTGTGTGTGTGTGTGTACCTGGCCTTAAACTCAGGCTGTATGTTCTTGTGTGACTTTTTTCGTCTAAGACTGGCACTCTGCCCCTTGAGTCACAGCTTCACGTGAGGCTTTTCGCTTAATTGGAGATACGTGTCTCATGGTCTTTGCTGCCACATTTTTGCTGTTTTCAAACTTTGATTCTCAGTTCTCAGCCTCCCAAATAAGTAGGATTGCAGGTGAGAGCCAGCAGCCTGCAGCTCCCCACCACCCTTCACTCACTGATGTATACCTGTGTCTTCTCTCACCAGCTACTTCTAGACCCTCTGAAAATAAGTAGGTTGAAATAACTATAAAGGTCCCCATTATTTTTCTCAGTTTCCCCTGACAATCCTGCTGATTCATTTAATTTAACAGATGTTGAAACCCACACTTGTTACATGCAAAATAAATTGCTAACCTGAGAGAGTATGTACATGCAGGCATATTGTGTGGGGGTGGTGGGGGTCACTTCCTCCTTCCCTATTCTCCAAATTTACATTAATTTAGTACTAAGAGCACACAAGCAATTCCTGGCTGTTCTCTCTTGTTGGGTTTGTTTATTTTACACTTATCTGGATTTAAAGAGACATACTGTTAAAACTTTTTACTAATCCTCTTTCAGTCATTGCACAAAGGATCTTCAGCTCAACATGGAAAGAGACATGCCTTTAACAACACTCAAAACAGTGAGTACAGAGCAGGGACAGCAAGAAAATAGAGCAGGGACAGCAAGAAAATATAAAGTGAGGTTGAGAAGCTTGACCTTTGCTGGCTCATGGGAAGGATTTCTGTTGCTGTTATAGCAATCACCAAACCCGGTAAAGGATCTACAAAGGGAACCGTTCTAGGTATAGCCTTTCTCCCTAGATTCCTGGACTCCTGGCTACAACTGCCCCCATTGAGCTGTATCTGGCCACACGTATCTATGATCGAAAAACAAACCTGCCACTTCCCATCCACCACAATTGCCAGACGGAGTGAAGCCTGCAGCAGAAAACGCTCATTACATTACAGAGACAAGAAGAGAGCAGCATCCCCAGGTCAGGCGAAGCTATTGTGCGTCCCAGGCGCCAACTCTGACAAGCAGGAGAAGTCGCACCTCTGATTTTAGGACCATTTTGCTGGAATTTATGTTGGCCCAGTGGACACAGGGATGCTATATTCGACTCTCGCTCAGCCTCTTTCCAGACACATTTACAAGGCTGAGCTTCCTCTTCCACACTTCCTTTGTTTCCCAGACTCTCCACCAACCGTGAGCACACAGCCTGTTCTCTATAAACTGTTTAGTAACAA